CTTCACTTCTAAAAAGCCCTCATGTAAAGTAAAATTTTTTGACCAAAGATCTTCATGGATGTTACAACGAACTACAAGGTAAAGAATATAAGCTAGACTGGTGATTGAATGGTGTGTTTTTAAAAAAAGACTATATCACGGGCGTAGAGAGCATCTTACGGGCCCCTCACACACCAAATTACATACATTTATAGTAATTTATGAGGTGCTTCTCCGCCCGGGAAGTAGTCATGATATTTATCTTGAATGATTTACGTTTAAAACTCATTTGAAAGCCATCGTCTTTAATTCCTAGCCCTTTTTGTTTGATAAAACAATAAAAGGTAGATTCAGTGTATGGTTGTGAAAGACTCAAGGTTCAGTGAAATAGAACTGAAGGTGAAAAATTCTTTTCCGGTTATGAAAAAGGTCCTTTCACTGGATGTGAAATAATCATGGTTTAATGGAGTTCACATCCAGTGAATGGACCTTTTCAAGTGACCCTATTTAAAAGTAGATGACGACTAGTTTTGGAACTAGCTTGGAACTAGCTTGGAACTAGTTTTTGGAACTACCTTGGCTTTTAAAGTATCCCCTTTTAAAATGATCGTATTATTAAGTACGTGAGAGCATCATTTTTTCAATTGACTGTATCTAAGTGTATTCTTCTTTTATATGACCGTATTTAAGAGTATCCTTCACCGTACGTATTTAAAAGTATCCTTCTTTGAAATAACCGTATTTAAGAGTATCCTTTTTTAAATGACCGTATTTAAGAGTATGTCCTTTTTTCAAATGACCGTGTTTAAGAGGATCCTTGATTGTATATAGGATCTGGATGACCCGAAGTTTGACTTATTGATTCAAATGCTCAAAAAAACTCCTAATCGTAGCTACTATATATTTAGTACAGGAAGTGCAATTGTAATACCTAAACTCTTAGGGGAGGGGAAGGTTTGAGTAATGGAGTACAGATGGCTTGTGAGCGATATATTTGATGCTCGTAAAATCATTACTTATTTCAGGAATAAAGCATAACAAATTACACCATTGATACCTATTTCACTTGCTGTTTTAGAATTTCGAAGTTTTAACCTTAAAATCCAAAATTGTGGAAATTCGGGATCTGGATTAACTCCTTGGATCGGACTTTTCTTAAGTGGAGTGTCGGATCGATAATTTTTTTGTTTTAAGTATTTCAAGTTAAAATCAATGTTAAAAGTGTGGCAATACTTGCGGAATTGCTTTGAGGCAGTTATTTTTAGAAATTTATAAAATTAGGGCTTTTTTGAAAAGGAAAGAGTTAAGGGTTCCGGCTCTTCTCAGTGGGAATCTGTGAATTATCTTTATCAAGCAGGAAGTAAAAATTGATGTCCAAAAATTTTCCCTGACTAGTGGCCATGCCAGATCACATGCTAAAACAGAAAGAGATTGGTCATTCAGTTACCATAGATACCACAGGCGAGAGTAAAAAGAAAGACTTTATTCCATATTGTGTACGGTTTCACAGCATCAATGATATTGAAATGAAAACAGGAAACGTGAGTAGTGATGCTTATATGTGTTCAAAATTTGATTATAAAAATAAAAAAAGGAAACGCACGCGGTTTGGAGAAGAACGACAAATAGTGGAGTATTGTAAGGAAGTTTTCTTAATGTACAAACGAATCTTTTCTTTACAAAATTATTTCTACTTCTACGTCATTCATGGCCATAGAGATGCCATAGTTTCGTTCCACTCTCGAGTTATGTTCAATTGTTGAAGGCGTTTATTCAAGAACAAGCACTATACAAACTCATTTWTTTTTTTTATGGTTACACACCTATTTTACGAAATGCTAATACATATTTTAAGCTTGACGCATTGATTTAAATTCAGACGTACATGTCTATTATCGAGATAAAGTGTCTCCAAACGTCTTCTTAAACTTGTTGTTCGTCGCTTCGTCCATGATAGATGCAGCTGTTAGAAATTCATCATCATTACTCTCGGCTTCGTGTTCGATAACTTGATGATACAACCTACTAAAAGGATAAAGAATAACAGGCTTGGCTTGTGATGGAACGGTGTGTCTCGAGGAAAAGGCTACATCACGGGCGTAGAGTGCATCTCACGGCCCTCTCACAGACCAAATTACATACATTTGTAGTATTTTTGGGGGTGCTTCTCCGCCCGGGATTTAGTCATTTACTGTATATGGAATGTTTCACGTTTAAAACCTTAGAAAGCCTTTTTTCTAAGCAGTCAAGAATGCAAAGTACGGACGTGCCTTGACTATGAGGGTGCCACGCTGAAGTATTCTTATTTTCTGATTAATGATCTACCGCGATGTGATTAGTTTAAAGGTAGTCTTTAATTCAGTGTCACGGTCTCTACCGTCAACTTACTGTACCACAGGGATACCTTACCTGGGCTGTGGTAACGTGCTAGACACTTTTAAACCGTTAGTCCAGTAATTTTAATAATTCCTTGTTCATTGACGTCTCCATACGGCCACACACAGCAGTGAAGGGCTAGCATAATACCACACGAGCGACTACCGACTGTATGGGATACATCTATGAAGGACATACCTGTTTTTGTCCTCTTGTCACGAGCCTCTCCGTTTCTCCTTGCCCTTTCGTTTTGACATTCCGAATCCCGAACATTAGCCGAATCAATTCCGGAAAAAAGACATGCAATTTCAAACATGTCATTCAAGTTTTTTTTTCCAAAATTTTATCAATAATTTTTCCACATGACTCTTTATGTGTTAATTTTTTTCCTTAAAATTTCTAAACAGAATTGGCACTAATATGAAATCATAAAACTAATATATTTTAATCTTTGCAGTCAAATAAAAAGAGAATTCATAGACAAATTTGTCTGATGAACCTTTTTATACACTTATATTTGAATTTCAAAACTACAAATATTAATCTTGATTCAATTAACCTTTCTATTATCACAGTTCAAATGTTATGGTTTCCGATCTTTGCACGAAGATTTCACGAAGATGATATCATTCTTCGTAACGTTTCGACGATTGTCCGTAAAGTTATAAATAACTCCGATGACTATTGCACGATGAGGGTTCTACCTCTTGTTTTGAAGTTGAGTAAATCGTGATTTCTTCCTCATGGACTCACTCTATCCTCAAATAATACTTATAAATGACAATAGCTATCATTCACGGAGCTGCTTGGCTTTTGTTAGGTCAATAGAACTCTAGCATGTCTCATTTTTACGTGCCTTCAGCAGTTACAGCAGACATCTCTTCTGCCCAGAATCTTGCTCATTTGTCTCCAATATCGTCTGGTTTAATGGCTTTTCAAAAGAGGAAAGGCGTAGGAACAATACTCCTTACTATCACAGGTAGTATAGCTATAAAATAAGCCATTATTTCCCTTTAACCATTTATTTACAGCCATTATATTTTTTTAGCAATGCAAACTAACTTTTCTTTAGATAAAAACAGTCCTTCTGGTAGATAGAGAGTCCTTTATACAACTTACTCTTGTAAACATTTCTTCTTTATTGTGCTACATTTTACTAAAAATAAGAGCTAGAGGAGGTGGTTCTGTTTAATAAAAACTAAAGAATAGTTTAGTATAAATAAATATTCAGGTACTTTATCTAGTATTTGTACCCCATTTTCTGTTGATATGGTTACATATTACACTCAAAATCATCAGCATGTATTTTCCAGGCAATATACTATCAGATATATTCAACATATTCACGCACTAATGATTTTTTTTTTAAATATGAGTGGGGGGTAATAATAAACCTTTCCCGAATTCGCTTGACTGGTCACTAAACAATGGTTTGAAGTCAAAGTTGGACTTGACAAATAAAAGAATCAAGTTCAGTCTCGACTTCAAACCATTGTTTTGTGTTCATGCAAGGGAATTCGGGAAAGGTCTATTAGTTAATCAGGAAATGATAGTGATTTTTTTTTAGTTGAGGGGATGGGGGGTATGGTTTATTCATGCTTTTGGGAGCTCACTTAGGAGGGGTGCCGGGTGGCGTTTATTCTCTCTGCATCTCTGTGGATTTTCTGGAGGTGTGATACTGTAGTAACCTGAGCCCAAGCCCAGACCATGTGATGCTATGACGTGGAGCCGGCCATGTTTTTATTTTGCAAAGCAAAGTAGAATCTATAGTAAAAGTTACACCTAGGACTTGTAGACCATTTACTATAGAGGTATTTCACCATCACTTGGGCTGCCTGTGGATGGATGGTATAACAATGAAAGTCCCTTTGCTTTTGGGAATTGAATTCTTTCTTGTGAAACGATTGTATTGTTTCTGCCATCTAACATGGCTGCCGTCAAGTGATGGCAAAATACCTCTATAGATACATAGATCCCTTTCAAAGGTTTCCTTTCAAAATAGGCCATTATTGAATTCGTGCAATACCTCTGTGTTCCTTGATTACAGATCGATTCTGATGCTAAAATCGAGGCTGAAGGCCTGAGTAACAGAGAACTCGAAACTGGAGTAATACAGTATCTTAGATGCAAGAGGAAAATGCATTAGAAATGGCACAAATTCCATGGGGAAAATGTCATTTCTTTTACATTTTCCTTAACGTTGCATCCAAGATGATATTAATAGGGCTGGTTTATGGCAATAGCATCCTCCATTTAGTCGAAGAGGCATTCCAGATTTTTTTATGACTTAACGCTAGTTACTTTTTTGCCTTTTTGTAAAATACACTATTTGTTGTTTGCAGTTGTTGAAGGTCGCCAACTACCAGTAATGGATCCTAATGGTAAATCAGATCCATACTGTATCGTGTCTGTTGGAGGGCAAGAACAGACCACTGCTGTGCAGTATGCCACTGTTAATCCAGAGTGGAGAGAGACATTTCAGTTTGAAGTTCCAGCAATACCCCAATCAGATACAGGTCTGTATTCAGTCAGTCAGTCTGATAGTTTGTGACTGTGGTTGATAGATCACATCTAGTGATGGTGATGATGTCAATGAAGGTGGTGGTAGTGTTGAAGTTGATGATGATGGTGGTGATGATGGTAAGGATAATTGTGATGGCGACCACCCTGGGGCCAGGAGAAAGTGGTCACTTATGGGAGATGGTCGCTTACTAGAGAGTTAACACAGGAAGCCCAAACAATGAGAATCCCAAACACAAGAAGCCTATACCATTTATAATTTGTAACTCACGTGTTAAAACTACTGTATCTTAGTGATTTTAAAACTGTCTTACTCAAAACCTTGAATGTGCTATATGTTTACAGTACTGTAATATAACATAACGATGCATGCTGGTATATGCTGATAGTAAAGTGATGATGGTGTATGATGTATGGTGATGATGATAATGATTATGGTGAGATATTAGGTCATGTTGATATGGAAGAAACTTCTAACAAGATGATAATACTAATAATGCCAATAAACTGGATCAGCAAGATATATAAT